ATTTATTTATTTGAGAGAGAGAGAGAGAGAGCACACGAGAGGGGGGAGGGTCAGAGGGAGAAGCAGACTCCCTGCTGAGCAGGGAGCCCGATGCGGGACTTGATCTCGGGACTCCAGGATCATGACCTGAGCCGAAGGCAGTCACTTAACCAACTGAGCCACCCAGGCGCCCTGCTTTGTAAAACTTTTTAAAACCAAAAGATAAAAGCTTTTTTTTTAATAAGTTTTTTTTTTTTTAAGATTTTATCTATTTATTTGTGAGAGAGAGAGAGAGCGAGCACAAGCAGGGGGAGCAGCAGGCAGAGGGAGAAGCAGGCTCCCCGCCGAGTAAGGAGCCTGATGAAGGACTTGATCCCAGGACCCTGGGATCATGACCTGAGCCAAAGGCAGACGCTTAACCGACTGAGCCACCCAGGCGTCCCAAGATAAAGCTTTTTAAAACCTAAGAATAACAGTCTTCATAGTTAGTAAATTCAGTGCTTGGTAGACTACATAATTCAGTAATCTAATTTGAAGAATAAAAGAAAAATTCCATAAGCTGACCTAATAAAATGCCAAGTCTAAATCCGTACCTCAGAGTTTGAACCGCCATCATAAGCACTGGTCGCCAATCGAGCCAAGTTACAGAGATGCTGAAACAGGTTTAAGCCAGTCATGCTAATCGTTTCAGGTTTTAGCTGGGGCATCTTAAAAAAAAAAATTTTTTTTTAAACTAGTTTAGTATGATAATTAATACATTTATTTTATCAAATTTAGATTAACAAATTTAACAAACTTAATTTTACTGAAACCACTGCAGAAGAAAATGTATCAGCTCAAATTTTTAGTGATGATTTAAAAAATTAAAATAGATAATAACTGAATGAAAATTTTATTCAGTTCATAATTGAAACCTAATACCTATTTCAATTTTCAATATATACGTAGATCCAAATAAGAGGATGTGAATAAAAAGTTTTATCCTTTATTGTATACCGATACACATTTATAAGATGTGTAGCTATATGTACAGTTTATATATACGTTAGGGCTTGAAATTAAGATCCTTGAGGGTCTATCCATAGCTCTGTAGATCTATTAAGCAATTTAGTTTATATGTACCAAAACTCATTAATATATATTCAATTCTACCACAGAGATACTAGTTTGCAGAGACTCTATATAATCTCAAAAATAAGCATAAAATAAAAAGTCTATTGCTTTAATATCATCAATGTTTCAAAATTCAAATGGAAAATTATTACCTGAACCAAATGTGGCATCTGATAAAGAACAAAAACTGAATAGAAAAATATCTTTAATAACAAGACATAACAGTGCTTCCTAAAAAGGACTTTTTGGAATCCACAGAAAATCTGGAGATTGGTTTATCTCTGCTATAGGACTGGCTAAAATCACAGCCATCTAACTAAGAGTCACAGAATATAGCTCTTACTCATATTAATATCAATATAAACACTATAGAGGATAAAACTGAAGTAAAACCTACATGACAAAATTATATAAAGGCTGCTGAAAAATAGTACATTTGTCTATTTTAAAAATCTATGCCAAAAGAGGAAAAAACTAACATTACAGAGTTTATATTTCAAGAGATAAAAAGGAAATACGGAAAAACAACATGAATGGTAAAACTGTCGAGAAATAAAATTACCTTCTCCAGGAAAAGATGTTTGTAGGTTTCCATTCCCATAGCATGCTGATCTTTACTTCGAACTTGATTTAAAAACCAATGGAGTGCATCATCATAACACTCAGCATCTTCTACTAAACAATGCCATAAAATGTCGACTTGCTCTAAACTTAACCCTAGATAAAAATTACAGATTTTGAATCATGGTACATACAATGTTTTGGTCCTAATTCAATGTACTAGAAGCACCAATATATGCAGAAATATAGAGGAGACATTTTATAGCATTTTATAAAAATTGTGTTATAAGAGATTTCACATCATTTATGCTTTTTCAAAATGTAAAAGGTACTTATATATAATCCATATATAAATCATCTAAAAACACACAACTTATACAGTATCTTTCAAGAGCCATTTGGTCTGGAAAATCACTCTCATTAAAATAAGGACATACACTGGATTGCAATAAACATGATTAATAAGGTGAGGTAATCCCAAAACTTGAGGAGTCAGTTCTAAGGTTTAATTAAGGGTTAACGGAATGCATGCATATCATGTTCAAAGATCATTCTATGCACATAGAAGAAAAAAAATAAATGCCAAAAAGCATTATTTTTGGAAAACTATGCGGGGGGGGGGGGAGAAAGGATCTGTATGATGAATAAAGCAAAAGGTAACTGACTGCCTAAAAGAGAAAACATCAAAACATCAGGATATTCAATTAGCTGGGAAAGCAATATAATGAGATGAAATCTGTATGGTACTTTGACCCAAGTATTAAATGATTCCAAAGTCTGGCAGAAAGAAGGCAAAAGAGCTGTTCAGAACCAAAAGGAAGGCAATACAGGCAATCACAAATCTGAATATGGATTTGGATAAATGAGATAAAGGAGAAGATCCGAAAGGGTAGAATAAAAGCATCACAGGGATTTTTAAGGTATATCATTAAAGGGTTCCAAAGCCTAGGTTGTTCCCCAGAATCGGAAGGGATAGGAAAATATGATACAATCATAAGAAACCTCTTTCCTGGGAAAGATAGGTGAGATCCAGAATAGAAAAAAACACCTCAGAAAATATTTACCTACTAGCAATATCAATCTACAGAATTTGATCACAAAATAGGTATCCTATCAGTTTCTCACAAAACCATACAAGTTGAAGAACTTATACCCCTGGGAGCCAATATGTAAAAAAAGAAAAAGGAACGAGTGAAGGAACCATAAACAATCTTTACAGCATATTCTAATTTAAACACATTCAATAATTAAGAAAAGAGAGAAGAAAGAACTGAAAAAAAACAAAACACAACAACAAAAAAACAGTATCCAGGTTAATTATAGTAAACTATATGATAAAATTAAGTGTATTCATAAATGACTGAGTCACCAATCCACATTCAATATAATTTAAGAGTAGCTATATTATACCTGAGAGTAACGATATTATACCTGACAGGAATTGTGCCAGTAAGAAAAGAACAAAAAAAAAGGTCATAAAGCCTATACACTAAGAATCTATACTGTGCTCCCTGGAATGGGAACAGCAAAATAAGTAATTCATTATTCAAATACTGGGAAGAGTGGCTAACAGTTGCCAGTGAGAATCTTAATTAAACAAACATGAAACTTCATAGTCGTGTGAAATTATTTATGCTGACAATATCTGTCTTGGGTTGACTTCTCCATGTATAAGATTGATTTTATATATTTTATATTATTTATTTCTCATATATTATCAGTCATAATGGGTACAATAAAAGACCTAATAACATGAAACAGAAGTTTCCTTTCAAAAACCAGTGTCTCATTTTAAAGTCTTTTGGTATCACTTTAGTGGCATTTGTTACAAAGAGCTTAACTTGAAGAAATTACAGAGTTAAACAGTAAAATGAACAAATGGTGTATCTCAAGCACAGACATAGACTTAAGAGAGCCGTGATGACACCTCTCAGGCTAGCAAGACACTTACCAGTCTGACTATATTAACCATAGCTAAAGAAAGAGAATGTCCTAAAACAGAGTTTGTTGACATGGACACACAGAAAAAGTGTGGAGAGTGAAAAATAACACACTGTGTCCCGCAAGAGAAAAGGAGCTCTGGCCAAAATGAAATCAAGCTTCCTCCTCTCTTGTGAGAACACCTAGCATGTGGATTTAGATATGGTCCACACCCTGAATATATCAGACCAATTTTTTTAGGGTTAATTATTAATGAAATTGAGTTTTAGATTAATCTAAATAAAACCAGGGTCTCTAAATGTCTCTATCGCCTGTGAAGCCAAGCAATTTGGGGTAAGACTAGCCCTGATAATAATATGTAGACAGTGGCTGTTTCCAAATGGAGTTATAAGAGAATTCTATAACTAAAAGAAATAAAAAATACAGTCACCCTTAAACATGGTATTTTCTACCCCAAATATCTTGTTCTTGAAATGAGCGGGTTATCCACTGAGAAACTGGATTTTCAGAGACTGAAGCAGAAATGTGTCAGGGTCACGCTCATACTGCCATACATACTGAGGACATTTGGTATTAAAAATATGAATTAAATATCAGTCACTACAGAAATCTAAAGGCATGAGCACATTTAACTGGACTCTTCCAAGAGTCAATACAGACCTAAAAACTGATTAAAATACTGATTAAAAGACTGATTAAAAAGCTTACTGAAATGATCAGGTGATCCCAGAGTTGAAAACACACAAGTCAAGAACTGAAGTCGAACTTGAACTTCGGCACTATGGCTGTACCTATATTTAAAAAGTCATTAAAATAATTAACTGAAAGATCCTACTTAATTATTTTTAAAGATTTAATGGCCCTATGTTAAATTATACCAAAGAAGTAAAATTCCACTTTAGTATCATAATTATTAAATATTTTAATTACAATTGATCCTCGAACAACACGGGGATTTAGGATGCCAAACCCCATGCGGGTGAAAATCTGTGCAGAACTTTTGACTCCCCAAAAACTTAGGTACTAATAGCTTACTGTTGACCAGAAGCCTTACAGTTGATCAAGACATACTTTGTGTACATATTATAGACTATAGTCTTCCAATTAAAGTATGCTAGAAAAAAAATGTTACTATGAAAATTTTGAGAAAATACACTTATAGTACTGTACTGTATTAAAAAAAAAAAAATCTAGGGCGCCTGGGTGGCTCAGTCGTTGGGCGTCTGCCTTCGGCTCAGGTCATGGTCCCAGGGTCCTGGGATTGAGTCCCACATCGGGCTCCCTGCTCTGCGGGGAGCCTGCTTCTCCCTCCTCCACTCCCCCTGCTTCTGTTCCTGCTCTCGCTCTCTCTCTGTCAAATAAATAAATAAAATCTTTAAAAAAAAAAAAAAAAATCTACATGTAAGTGGACCCACGCAGTTAAAACCCGTGTTGTTCAAGGGTAAACTGTATATAACTTCAGTTATACCAAAAAAAAAGGTCATAAAGCCAAATGGTATGTTTGAGATTATGTTACTTAATAAATTATAAAAATCTGCAAACAATGAGAAAACATACTTTTAAATTAGATGAGAAAATACATAAGAACTTAACAGTGGAACAAAAGAAATATGTCATTTTGAACTTATGCAATATGCACATAGGTTAGAATAAATAAACTGCATCTCTATCCAAAAAAAGCATATTTCATTATCACTGTCCCATCAGTGATTATACCCCTTACACAAGAAATGCTAATGAAATATCACTTCCATTAATCTAGTTCATAAAAAATACAGCTAATACAAAATTGGCATTTTTTAATGTTACTTCAAATCTAAATATTTATAATTCATGTGCACAAAATCAATGGTAAGAGTTGGAGGCTTGTTAAGTAGGTGATTTCACAAGGTTCTCTGGGAATTCAATTTGTAAGCATGTGCAAAGGAGCAGCATTTTAAGAATCAAGTATTGGGTCTGTCAGGGAGGAAGGGTAGGAGATGCATCTGAAAGAGGTATATAGGGTCCAGACTGTGGCCAGCCTGAAATGTCAAAAAGAAGAATCCGGCATTACTCTGGATGAAAAAGGAGATCATTAAAGGGTGTTGAGGGGAGAGGGGACTCATGATCAAGTTTGCATTTTAGGATTCCTTTAGCAACCTTGTGAACTGCATATTGAACTGTGTTTGTGATAGTACAACATTCTAATTTCCACAAGCACCTGAGCACCCAATCAATGAAACTAAATCAATCATGAGTTCTTAGCTCTATGTTACAAATCAAAGGCTGGTTGTAGATGAACTGCCCAAATTACGTTGCCAACAAAAGGCAGCAGCCAGTCTTGAGCCCTGATCTGTATCCCAGGTTGTAGAGAGTCAAAGAGCCTCAATTCAATTTCCTATAATCTTTAAGTGCAAAATTTTAAAAGCTTCCCAAAATGATCTGGTTTCAAAAATTATAACAGATTCACTGTTCAAGTTTAAAGTTAAGGTTTTCTAAAGATTAAGTTTGCTGGATATACCTTTGCTGCTCCTTACTGTCTCATATAAATATTGGCAAAGAAAAGATGAACTTTCACTTCATTATTGTTGCGGTGCCCTTTGTGAAGATCAAAGTACGTGTGGCAAGACAGCTGGGGGCACAGAGGAGGGAGTACAGTAAGCAACTCACAGACTAAAATGCCATCCAGATAAAGTTCAAGAACAGCTCTTAACAGCTTCTCATCCTTTTACTAAAAAGGACAGATACTGTAGCAGAAGCCTTGGAGTACAGGTTCAAATTCAAGTTCTATCATCCATCAGTTCTGTGATTTTAAGTAAGTTACTATACTCTGAGCCTTGGGGACTTGGTCACAGACATAAAGGGAGAATGAAATCTTGTCCTGTACAAAGTGCTTTTATGTCCTGCATACTTCCTTCCCCCATACTTGCAACTCAGACTAACAGACCCATAACCCCAGAAGGCATGGGCCCAGTCCCTTTGTCCTCTCTTCTTCAGCTTCCATAGTAGAGCCACTGCCTCCACACTTCAAAGGACTCCTCGTCAGGGTCTCATTGGCTGCTGAAATCACTAGTCAGGAAATTTCTTGAGATGCAAAACAAAGATAACATCAATACTGGCAAATTCTCATGGACTTGTCCATGGCTTCCAACATTACAGAAAATATAAGACAAAAATAATCTCCCTACAGGCATGAAATTTTAGTGGCAAATATCTTTTTTTTTTTAATTCTGTTTGTAGCCTCTATGTTGACACAGCAGGATTTTCTCTAGAGGCCACTGGATTCAAGAAATATGTAACATTTCTATCTGGGAAATGAAGTGTTCTCTCTCATACCACAAGCATCTTTGTGTTAGGTGAAAATCTGAGAACTTGTCTACTAAAATCCCCACAGAACAAATGGAAAATAATGGGCCACAAACTCAAGAGGTCAGCATGCTTTAACAAAGGGTAGCAAATGCACAACTATGTTTTATAGCCTGAAGGAACAAGGCAGTTATATCAAGAGGCCAGACGACATCTCTCTGTTCTAAGGTTTTATTCTTTTTAAGATGCCAGGCAACAAGTCAAGACTGGAGGACTGAAAGGATACTATGCACCCTAACAAAGTTTAAAACTCATCTCCAAAGAGCACCACTCCACTATTTATCTTTTTCACCACAGAAACAACCATTGTATGAGACTCCACCTCTAATTCCACTAACAATGTCAGCAAATTCCCTATAGCCAACGCTGTGAACAATCAAGACTCAGACCTGTGTTTATTTTTTGGCACTTAATGTTGGACTTTCTCGGATGATTCTTTTTTTTTTTTTTTGAGGATAATTCATCTAAGTCTTGTCTTCCATGCCCCTTTCTTACGCCTCCCACCCCCGCTCATCAAGCCCACAGGCTTGTAGCTGTGGTGAGAGCTTTTTTGTAACTTAGTGTTTATTTCTCTACTGAAAGGTAACTTGAATTCCATCTCCTAAAAATGCTCAAGATGGGGGTGCCTGGGTGGCTCAGATGGTTAAGCATCTGCCTTCAGCTCAGGTCATGATCCCAGCGTCCTGGGATCGAGCCCTGCATCGGGCTCCCCGCTCAGCGGGCTCCCTGCTCAGCGGGGAGTCTGCTTCTCCCTCTCCCTCTGCCTCTCTCCCTGCTCATGCTCTCTCTCTCTGTATCTCTGTGTCTCAAATGAATAAATAAAAAATCTTTTAAAAAAAAAAAGCTCAAGATGTAGGTCGTGTGGTTTTATTTCTGCTTCTTGTCAATCTTGTGGTTTTTACAGATACATGGAGATGCTCAGATTCAGGAAACCATGATTATCTTCAACCTCTGCTTTAAGAATAATTAAAAGAAAGATACAGACTATGAAGAACACTTAGAATTTTAATAGCATTTAAAGAAATGCATCTTATATGCAAACAAAGCTACAGAATAAATTTAAGGAAATAACTCAGAAATAATTTGTTGGCTTGTAAGATAGAAGGTCCTAAAAAAAAAAAATCATTGAGTAATAAAACAGGAAAGGCTGCTTGAGTTTTGATTTTAGAGGGCCCAAAATACTAGGCTGAAGAAACTGGAATTTACTTTTTACACAGTGAAGAATCTAAATGGAGGTAAAGGGCAATGTTGTTGTCTGTTTTGTACCATAGTTTATTAGCCTGGTAACTATAGTTTATAGATAATCTATGTGCCAGGAGCTACTTACTAAATTATTTCATTTAATTCTTACAAAAACTCATGATGTAAATAATTAGAGTTTATTAGGGAGGTAACTAATCAAAATAAGGTCAAAACAATACATTCATAATCTAAACCCAGGCCTGTATGATTCACAAGCCCAGGTGCTTTCCTCCAATACTATATTACAACTCCTAATATGATAAGAATAAGAAATTAATGAGCATGGCGGAGAATGAGGCAAGAAGACTGATCCAGAGGTTGGGTAACAGGACTGGAACAGTGTCTGTGGGAATGTCAACTTGTGAAAAGACACAGGATATATTTTAGCATTAAGACAACCAGAGACTGATGACAGTATAATGTAGAGCTCAAGAATATTAGAAAAAACAGACAGTTACACTATTTATAAAATGTGTGACCTTAGGCAAGTTATTTATCGTCTCATAGTTTAAACGTTCTCATTTTTAAAATGAAACTGCCTAACTCAAATGAGTTGTTGTGTATCTTCAAGTTAACACTTAAGTTAAATGGTATCTGGCATACAGTAAGCATCAATAAACACTGGTATTTTTATCATCATCTTTCATGTTTGGAAATGACAAACCAAAAAAAGGCCCCAAAGTCTCCAAGTTTTAGGTGACTGAGAGGATGATGGGATTCTGAAGGACTTAGTAAAATCTAGAGACAGAACTGATTTATGGAGAAAAATAATTCATTTTTGGATTAAAGGCCTATTACTTTTCTGAACACTTGCACAGCGTGCTCAGTTTTCATCTATACAGAAGTTGTCTATAGGATTATTTTCTCAATAAATACTAAGGCTAGCTGATACACAGTAAGCTGGTTTTCTTGACTTGGCCATCAGTCTCACCAGCTGACTAATAAACAGAAACCTTCTGAATTTCACATGTTTTCTTCTAGACAGCAATTTTCCCTATAAGAAGCTTTGAACACAGCTATACCACTGATCATTTCTACCAATTCTTATCCAAAGTCATTAAATGATGAAATATTTCAAAATTTCAGGATCAATGCCTTAAGAGTAAAACAGGATATTGATGATTTTTGAAAAAACTTTTGATTCCTGAAAACAGTGACTGAACAGAACTCAATAGTGAAAGTTAACCCCCAAGAGTTATATAACCTACATTTCCCTAAGGTTAAAAATTATAAAAATAACTTTACAAAATTCTCCAACTTAAAAGAACATTTCTTTCTCTTAAAATTTTTACAACTAAAGTTTTCATTGCATTTATTTACTATATGAAAGAAAAGCAGAAATACTGGGACATTATCTTTCAGAGGAAAGACAATCAACCCTTAAATATAACTAACCTAATAGTTAAGGTACTTACAGTGCATGTTTCTGTCTTCCTTCTCTTACAGCTTGAATATAATATACCAAATTATCAAAGAAAAGTTTCATCATGTTCAGTTCTTTTTCTGCCCACCTGGCCCAAATGAAAGAAAAAATACTTTTAAAGGCATAGGGTAAGAGAATAAACCTGCTTTAGGACAAGAAAAAAATGTATATTTAAAAATTCTTCAAATGCAAAATCTTCTAACTGCCAAAAACTTACAACTTCTATTTCTATTTGAATTGTGAAAGATATAAAGCAATACGTCTTAATTTTTTTAATTTAAAGTATCACTGTTGTTTTTAATCTCAAAACAATCTCTGTGAAGAGGATAAAATGTCTGGCAAGTGCTAATTATAAATGGCTAACATGAATTAATATTAAAAATAGTATGATACAGGCCATATAAGGATGGACTGTGTGCCTTGGTCATTATTTAGTAAAATTTAGCAGAGTGCCTGGCATATAATACAGATACAATACAAACTTACTAAATCAATTACTTTTTCTTTTTTTTATTGTGGAATATTTGTTAAAAAAAAAAAAATCAGGTATCAAGTTCAAAATTACCTACAAACACTAGAATAAAAAAAGTGACAAATACAATCAGAGATCTCAGGGATTATAACACCCATAACTAACATCTATTCCACATAATACTTACTACCAATACATCTGTTAAAATACAGAGAAGTATTAAAACTTCTGATGTAATTTAATTTACATCATGCTATAGCGCTCTTTTCAAAGTAAGTTATTCTCACCTTGACAATCCCTTAATGAAGATGCCATTAACACAGAAAACATCCAGAAAGACTTACGTTTGAAACCAGTTCCAATATACATGCAGCATGGCTTTGGGCAAGTAACCTGACCTTTTAAAGTCTGTTTGCTGGTTACTTGAAGATTTACTAAGAGATAAGGAATAACAATTTCTAATTTTAAAATATGAGGCATAAGAATTTGAGAGATAATATGTACCAAATGTTGAATGCTGCTGCACATAATAGATTCACAAAGTTTTTTGTCATTATTGCTGCCAACTAACCACAGGAGCTCAGCGTTCTTTTCATTGATCCACTTGAGATTTTGGATACCAGTCTCAGGTAGGAAACTCTGTGAATTCCCATTAACTGAGCTTATTCACTTTAAGGATCAAGCTAAAAGGGTCTCAACTCAATATACTTAGGTTCAGGTATTTGATAAGTAACTGACCATACAGAGTAGGCCACTTCTGTAAGATGTTACTCTTTGTTATTCCTTAATATAAACCTCCTCAAATGGCTACAGTATGTCGCCAACTTGCCCAAGTTAGCTACAAGTAAATCCCTTTAATACTTTAGAATTCTGTCATTCAACCATTTAAAAACTATTTGAAAAGTCAACGAAACTGGACTCACAATCTTCTTATACTTAAAGGATGCTAAATACTTTTCCCTATCCCTCTGTTTAGTATCTCAACGACTTTCCCCTATACTTACAAATAAAATTGTCGCTAGACTCATAATAACAAAAGAGACTAAGATGATTTAAAAAAAAAAAAATAGAGGTTCAGGTTTAAAAAGTCCCATTTAAAGGAACAGAGCAGTCAAGGGTTATAACTGACAACTAACTTTACCTATTTAGAATTATTGTGAAGTCTTCTAAGAATTTTTCTAAATGATACTCACTTTGAAAGTAAACAAAATACTCTTAACAGCTAATCTTAGATGTGAGAAGGAATTAGGTAAAAAGCCACCTTATTTGACCTCAAAAATGAATCCTTCAATAGGTCTAATTTTTCCTAAAATCTAAATGTCTCTGAAATCCCTCCAAAATAAAGCAAATAACACATTCTTATAGATTAATCTTAAATTCTCTATAAATGTAAAGTAGTAATAGGGTGGTATCAAGATTATCCCTAACATGATGTAATGTCTACAACCAATTTTTAGTAATGGGAAAAATTAAAGACACCCTACATTGTTTATTATAGTGTGTATCTTTTTCAGGAATCCTTTACTATGGTGAATCTAGGATGAATCTTAAGGTGAATCTTCACCCTAAAATTAGAGCATCACTTGCTACAGTATTTTTCTTAAACTACAAAGAATACAAAAGCCAGATTTTTCTACTGATGCTGATAAAATCTCCATGGGCTAAATGGCAAAGAGCACTCTGAAAAATCTAAGAAAACATTTGAACCACAAAAAACTCAAATATGCCTGATATAAAATAAAAGCTAATAAGTTACTCAAAACTTTGATAATTATGATTACTGAAAAATCTTTAAAATGAATACTTCTGTTTATTTACTTACATTGTAATCCAATGTGTATCATAACTGCTCCCAAACTGCTGAAAAGTACCAAACAGTTTTGGAAGAAGGCGAAGTGAAATTACTACTGATCTGAAACAGCAAAAACAAATATTTATAGAATAAAATAATTTTAGTTACTATTACTAATTCTAGCATTTTACAGAAATTCAGCTATTTAAAAATCTTAAATGCAAAAGGATTTTAATGAACTTTACGTTATAAATATATTTCTTACCTAATCACTGAAAAAATTTTCCGTAAAGTTTAAATTTATTTTATATAGTGGGTCAAGAAACCCAAGTTTTAAAATCCCAATCCAAGATTTTTAAAGTAAAATACATTATAAATACTTAAGTATAAAAACAAATGAAGAATATTTAAAGGTAAAGACTTTCATGGAAAAAAAATTAAGTTGTGGATGCTTCTGAGGATTTAATCAAGGAAAATTGGGAAAAGCAGCTTATTAAGTAAGTTATCTAGAATAGAACTTCTCAAAGTTTAATGTTCACTTTATTCACTTGGGGAAATTTTGTTGAAATGCAAATTCTGATTGCCATGTCTGAGGTAAGAAATTTTTCCAACAAGCTCACAAATGATACTCAAACTGCTGGTTTGTGAGTCACATTCTGAGCAGCAATAATATAAAGAGCACTTTTCGAACTATACACATCATCCCTTTCTCCCTGATTCTCACTTAATATGAGCTGGATCCGAGCTGAAAATCATTTCATTATAAGCCACGTTAATAATACCACCAAATGACAAAAGAAACAGCATGTTAGTAGAATGCTAAAAGATCAAAACCACACTGGCACAGATTAAGGAGTAACAGTTAAGTCATGGAAACAGTCCATGAATACTTCTGTCCATTCTTTAAATATTTAAAAACATTTAAATTTGGAGGCGCTTGGGTGGCTCAGTCGGTTAAGCGTCTGACTCTTGATTTCGGCTCAGGTCATGATCTCAAGGTCTGAGATCTAGCCCCAGGTAGGGCTCCACGCTCAGCAGGAAGTCTGCTTGAGATCCTCTCCTTCTGCTCCTCTCCCCCCACCAAAATAAATAAATCTTTTAAAAAATTTAAATTTTTAAGTATATTTTTTATATTAAAATTTTTAGTATTTTTCACGAAGTTGTACAATGCTGTAACTTGGGAAAATGGACCATGAGAATCAAGGGGAAGCAACTGTAGATTCTTTATCTAAAATTTACAAAAAAAATAAAAAATAAAAAATAAAATAAAATAAAATTTACTCTTGTCAAGGGGCACCTGGGTGGCTCAGTTGATTAAGCAACCAACTCTTGATTTCTGCTAATATCAGGGTTGTGACACTGAGCCCTGTGTAGAGCTCCACACTGGGCATGGAGCCTGCTTAAGATTCTCTCTCGCCGGATGCAGAGAAAGGGGAACCCTCCTACACTGTTGGTGGGAATGCAAGCTGCTGCAGCCAATCTAGAAAAAAGTATGGAGGTTCCTCAAAAAGTTGAAAACAGAGCCACCCTATGACCCAGCAATTACACTACCAGGTATTTACCCCAAAGATACAAATGTAGTGATCTGAAGGGGTATGTGCCCCCCAATGTTTATAGCAGCAATGTCCACAATAGCCAAACAATGGAAAGAGCCTAGATGTCCATCAACAGATGAATGGATAAAGAAGATGTGGTATATATACACAATGGAATATTATGTAACCATCAAAAAGATGAAATCTTGCCATTTGCAATGAGATAGATGGAACCAATGGGTATTATGCTAGGCAAAATAGGTCAATCAGACAAAGACATATGATTTCACTGATATATGGAATTTGAGCAACAAGACAGGATTATAGGGAAAGGGAGGGAGAAATGAAACAAGACGAAACCAGAGAAGGAGACAAACCATAAGAGACTCTTAATCTCAGGAAACAAACTGAGGGTTGCTGGAGTGGAGGGGGGGTGGGAGGGATGGAGTGGCTGGGTGATGGACATTGGGGAGGGAGGTATGTGCTATGGTGAGCACTGTGAACTGTGTAAGACTGATGAATCACAGCCCTGAAACAAATAATACATTATATGTTAATAAAAAAATATACAATATAAATAGAGTAAAAAAAAATCTGCACCCCCTCATAAAAAAATCAAATCTCTTGAAAAACTTCCAGAAACATTAGGGGAGTTTTTCCTAAGAATTAAGACATAAAAAAATAGAACATATAGATATACATTAATTTGATCTAACGCTTTACAAGCATAAAATCAATACAGGATATCACAAAGGAAAAAATATAGAAAAATTACATCTAAAATCACAAAGGCAAATTTCAAAATTGTGATTTTAACAGTGGTTTTAAAATACAAAGAAACAGGTACGCCTGGTGGCTTGGTAGGTTAAGTGTCTGCCTTCAGCTCAGGTCATGATCCTGATGTCCTGGGATTGAGCCTGCATCTGCCTCCCTGCTCAGCAGGGAATCTGCTTATTCCTCTCCCTCTGCCTTCCCCTGCCCTCTTTGTGCTCTCTCTCTCTCAAATAAATAGTAAAAAAGTAAAAAATAAAAAAATAAAATACAAAGAAACAAAGAGCTAGAAAGAGATATATCTTACATTAAGAAGACACTATGACAAGTGTTATAGTGTGCAATAGTTATTTTCTGAAAATCTTATTAAATTATCTCTTGCAGTCAACGGTGTTGAACGTCTAGATTGTTTAAACTTACTTTCCAAATTTGCCACAATAAACATGTTTTCATTTTATAAAATGTAATGTGCTTGACAATAAAGAATAGAAACCAGGTGTTAAGTGGATATTGGTTGAAATGAGTGGATAATGCTGTGGTTCATGTAATAGAATAACCGAAAATACAAATGTAGAAATGAGACTCATCTTCCCTCTACTCCTATTGTAAAAGGAATGCTTTTTGCCACAATTTATAATATAACACTGAGTTATCAGGGAATGATTACATTTTATAAAGCCAAAACATTTCTTTAAAAGTTTATCAGATTATAAGAAAAATTCCATTTTTCTCCTTAAAAAAAATTCAAACATATAAAAAGTTTATAAGAAATGACCAAATCCACAAAGTGATCCCAAAACACTAAAACTTTTTACTTAAGCTGATAAATTTAGAAGGAAAAATTATATAAAGTACAGATTACAGACTGAAAATTAGTAATACAGATACAAAATGGGGAAGATAATTTGGTGATAATAATAATTTATACTTCAATGTTAAAGGAAAGTCACAAGATCTACCAACTTGTTATTAAAATTATGTTGTAGAATTTCTCCTGTAACGACTACAAGATGTTACACTAACGTACCAACTTTTTTGCCTAAATAGTTTTGATTGTTGATATGCTTACAAAACTCAGTATTTAAAAAAAAGGGTGTTTATATTCAAACCTACATTTCACAAGTTCTTCTAAGGGTGAAAATTTCAAATACCAAAATGCAATCATAGGCAACAATATGTTTAGGATAAAAAGGTTCAATGATCCAGAGTAACAAAATACTAACTTTAGACTTAATAAAAGTGTTATTACCCTAAACTGCCCTCTTTGCTTCAATCTAGGCAACAGTGTGGTATTCCTGTATTACCAATGAAATGTTATGTTGCCTTAGCATAATGATTTTTTCCTAATCCTGGACTACATATCTGAAGACTAATGTGTTCTACAAAATGCTACTCAGTCATCACAAATTTTAGTATGCTGAAAGTTGACATGAAATGCTATACATAACATAGTCTTAAGGAGGAAAAAAAAAGTAGCATATAGTACCATCCATTTCTTAATTATTTAAACCTCTACTTATATAAACAGGCCTTGACACATGATCATTTTACTCAAATCTTTTGTACACAAAGGCAAAAACTTGGGGCGCCTGGGTGGCTCAGTTGGTTAGGCGACTGCCTTCGGCTCAGGTCATGATCCCAGAGTCCTGGGATCAAGTCCCACATTGGGCTCCCTGCTCATCAGGGAGCCTGCTTCTTCCCCTGACCCTCTCCACTGTCATGCTGTTTCTCTCTCAAATAAATAAAATCTTTAAAAAAAAAAAAAGGCAAAAACTTTGAGCATATGTGTTAAAGTACCTACAGAGGATCAAAAATGGAAAAAAATAGCACAGAGGATAGATTTCCAGTCTCAATTCAATTCTTGGAAGGGGACAATTTCAGGCAGTACCGAGGCACAGGATATGGACCTGCCTTCTAGTAAACATAAAATACCAAAGGGGCTGATTACAACCCTACCCAATGGACAGCAATCTTTCCTCAAACATCCTTGGAGACCAATATCAAGCTGAAAAGTAGTGGACTCTTCACTGTGGGAGCTACTGTCTGCCTCATGCTCTCTTTATGAAAATATTCTGCAAACCAGTCTACTAGGTATTTCTGTAACTTCTAACTTCCTGCACTCAAAACATCCTTATGTGCCTTATAAAACAATCTGCCTGAGGCTAAATGTACACAAAACACAAGTTGCATATCACAGAGGCACACAAGGCATTTTTTAAAAAGTGTTTATAATGGTTCCATATAAATGGGAGAATTATGCAATTATGGGCAATTTATAGAAGACTTGATCTCCATGCTTCCTGAGAATAAGCCCCTATTACTGTTCCATAAAAGCTAAGTTCATTTTATCAAATAAACTGGAATGTGACCATAGAAAAGGAAAAAACAAAAATGCTGACAGATCTATAAACCATGGCAAATAAAGGTACTGCAAAGAAAATTTAAAAATTAGCACAGAGAAAATAAAAAGCTAAAACCTCCCTACTAAGTACATAAAAAACTTACATCATCAGGAAGTAGACTTCTGTGTTCTTTTGTCAAATGTCAGGAAAATGCTAAATGAGTTAAGGTTGCAGTGGCCCATTTATTTCAACATAAGCGCTTTTCTATTAATATTAGCACCTCTGTGCAACATTCCTTTCTGATGGTAAACTTGGGGGGCTAGGTTTGAGAAAGGATTCTTGTGTTTTGAATGGGATTTCTAAAACTCTGAGGTCACTACAGACATTTTGGGCCATTGTGGAGGGGCTATCCTCTGCATTGATGGGTCTTTAGTAGCATCCCTGGCCTGTAATCATACCTCCAATCTCATTCATTAGTGTGACAACCAAAAATATGTTGGTTGACATTGCCTACGGGGGGGAAAAAATCACTCCCATTAAAAACCACTGGTTTATCAGGAAACCCAGACTAATGATGTACAAAACTTTTTTGGGGTGGCTCAGTCGTTAAGCGTCTGTCTTTGGCTCAGGTCATGACCTAGGGTCCTGGGATCGAGCCCACACTGGGCTCCCCAGGGAGCCTGCTTCTCCCTCTCCCACTCCCCCTGCTTGTGTTCCCTCTCTCACTGTCTCTCTCTATCAAATAAATAAAGTATTTAAAGACAAAACAAAACTTTTTTTCAACGAGCATAACAACTTTGGTAAGTTCAGCTGGGATACACGAGATGTGCTGCATATTTCCAATACTGAAAAATGCCACTGTGTTCTACATATTATCATATATGACTATCATTCACTACAAAACTAGCATGATATAGCAACCGTATGAAGAGTCAAGTGTGAGGGCAAAATTAGCTTCAACACAATAATGTTTACTACATACTCCAAAAAACATTATATTAGGATACAGGAATTGACTGAAAATGTTTCATCTTCAAGTAATTTGAGAGTGAACAAATTAAAGTTTAATAAAAAATCCAGATTGACAATTTTCCATTTTACACACAAGACTTTTCCTTTTGTCCCTTCTAAGTTTCCCCACTTTTAAGAGAAAGGTATGTTCATTATAGAAAAACTAGAAAATAGAAAAGCATAAAGAAGAAAAAAAAATTCAATCCTTTCAGAAATAACCATTTTACTACCGTCTCACATATTGCATGCAATCTTTTTAAAAGACAAACCCGCCAAGTATATGCCCATATCATTATATAATCTTTTTTAAAAGGGGCTCTTTAAAGGCTGCATGATATTTTATCTTTCACATAGTTTCACTGCAGTATACATAGAAAAACATGTATAAATCTAACAACTGAAAATATTAGGAGGTGAACATACTGTACAACCAGCACCCACTGAAGAAATAAATCATTACCAACATACTTCTGGCCTTCATTGTGCCCCATTTTCGAGTCACTAATAACCCAACAGTAACCATTATCCTGACTACTAACTACAATTATTTTCCTCTTTTTAAACTTCACATAAATGGAATAACAGTGATATATTCTATCTGGCTTCTTTCACTCAACATTATGCTTGTGAGATTCATCCACACCATTCCATAGTTCATTCAATGTTACTGCTATGGCTTCATTCAACAAACAATCCATAATTTTCCTTTCTACTCGTTTTTGGCACTTGGATAGCTATACAAAAACTCTTTAGTTATTTTGAACAGTGCTGCTATGAACATTCTTCAATGTGCCTTTTGGCAATTATCTGGATGTATTTCTGTAAAGCACATACTTAGCAGTGGAATTACTGGATAGGTATGCAGATGCACATATGGGAAATATAAATTGATACAACCACTTTAAAAAACTTCAGTGGTTTCACAAAGACTTCTAAAAGACAACATTTTAAAGTTAACTGCTATAATACCTATGTAAATGATGAAGTATCATCCAGACACTAAAGCATTCCTTTTAAAGCATATATGCCAAATGATGCAACTGATCCACTAACAGAGATCTATTTGTGGTTTCTTATACTTGCATGAAGAAGCAATTTTTCTATTGTGATTGTTCAAATTATATGGCCCTTAAAAAACCAAAAGTAGAAAATATCACACATATTTTTTCTAATTCAACTGAGTAAAAAATAGGTTAAAGCACTTAAATATTCAATAAAATTAAACATTTATATCAGTTTTAGGCAGAAGTAGGCTGAAAACATTATATGAATACAACAGAATACAATATATTCAATTAGTAACTGAATTCACTATATCAGAGAATGGCATTTCCAAAGGACTGTTGTTAAGACAAAGGAAATCTGAAATTATACCAATGGAAGAGGCCTGAAAATCCACAAACTTGTGGTAATCATCTCAGACACAATAAAAAGTATATAAATATATGGCGGAATTCAAACTAGAAAAAAACACTAACCTAACTCTCTATGCACTACAGAAGTCAATACACAAAAGATCAACCCACTTGGAAGAACAATGCCATTATCAAAATATTTATATTTCAGCTTAAGTTTAACTTCGTTTATCTTATTTAGTTTTTTTATATATGACACAGTTTAAGAACATTTAACTGTAATTTGAAAACACAGCAGTCACCACTATATTCCCAGAAAAAGAGAGTATTATTACTTTTTTTCTGTTAGATAGCTAATCAAGAGTGTCAAAAGTGCTGAAAAAGGAAGACTGGCTGATTTAAAAGAAGGAAGAAAAAAAAAGAACCCTGTGAGGTAAAAATCTTCAAACCTAATATGAAAGCCACACTTACTTTAAAAAAAAAAAAAAAAAGGCTGGTAATGGTACATTGATATGAATCCACCACACCTAGTCAGTAAAGAATATACAAAATGAACTTTGACTACTACATAAAAAAAATTTAAAATTCCTGTTTACCTGTTGTTTCCTAAATTTTCAAGGCAACCTTCAATGAATCTCATTCGAATCTGTCTATCCGTAAACCAACATACTAAGGAACAGAGAAGTTTCTCTGCTTCATTTATTAATCCTTCAGAAAGATTAACCTACAAAAAAATGTATACACATAAAGTTACTCTTTATCCTAATTGCATTTTGCTGTAATTTTGTCGTCTTTTTGCTCTATTAGGTAACTTACTGCATCATCATCTTGAACTATATCCCATAACAAGGTGTTTCCTTTCTTGCAAACGTTATCCAAATTAATGTCTGTCACAGCATTACTGTTGAACTGATGTTTATGAACTGCAGGTCCTGAAAGGGCAAAATATAACACATTCTAGAGGAATACAACAGGCAGAAATTGTCAATTATAGCATTCATAATGTCAACAAATCAGAAGTATAAAAACAAAAACAATACAAGATTAACACAACAGTTGCTTTGTGAATGGCACAGTTGTTTGAGTTTGATTAAACTAAAGTTAAGGAAAGAGACCTCTCATGGTCTCTTTGCTATTTCTAATAAGTATTAATTGCTTTTTGCATGTCAAGAGAACAGTATATAAATGCCTGAAACACAAATTAAGCGCGAAGATAATTTTCTTGAAATAATTGTATAGCCAAGGAACATTCTTCTAAATTACCTTCTTTATTAAAGTATTTTATATCCGTACATTAAAAAAATTTATTGGAGATGATTTACCCGTAACAATCAAAGATTCTAACAATTCAGACTCTGAGCGCCAGGCTAAATAAATTCTCACTAGCTCTCCTAAGCAAAAATGCTTGTCTCTTTAAACAGCTTTACCATGAAATTTCCCTACTGAATGGTACGTATACACTGATTACATTAAAATAAGAATTGTGCAACCATCACCATAAGGTTTAAAACTTTCACCACCTTAAAACATTCCCTTGTACCTAATTACAATTAATTACAATTAATTCCTATCCCACTCCCCAGCCCTAATCCATTTTTCCATCCCCATAAATTAGCATTTTCTAGAAATTTTATGTAAATGGAATCATACAATATGTATAGTCTTATGTCTGAGCTTGTTCACTTAGCAAAATTTTTGAGGTACATCCATGTCAAAGCACATTTCACTAGTGTGTTTTAATTATAAAATAATATTCTATTATGTGGAAATACTTCATTTTGATTATACTGAACAGTTAATAGACTTGGGAGTTTTCAGTCTTGGGCTATATGAATAATGCTGCCATAAATGTCTGTATAACAAGTCTCTGTATGGACACATGCTTTCCTTTCTCTTTGGTAAAATGAAATTAGTGATTCACAAGGTAAATGTGTGTTTGACATTTGAAGAAACTGCCAAACTGTTTTCCAAAATGGTTGGCCATTTTACATCCCACCAATAGTCTATTAGCATACCAGTTACTGTTCCTCTACAACTCCACATCACAGTGGCATGGTCGACTTCTTTGTTTTAGCCATTCTAGTAGGCGTGCAGTAGAATCTCATTAAGGTTTTTAAATTTGCAATTCCCTAGTGACTAAGCATCTTTTCAGGTGCTACCAGTCATTTGTGTACATTATTTGCTAAATTACTACTGAGTTGTAAAAGTTCTTATATGTTCTGAATTCAAGCCCTTTATTAGATGTATGATTTGTAAATATTTCTCCCAGACTTTGGCTTGCCTTTTGGGGGTTTTGTTTTGGTGTTTATTTTTATTTTTATTTTATTTTATTTTTTTTTAA